AGGCTTTCGAGCCTATACAGCTTGGAGTAAGACAACATGCATGAAGAGGATGATGTGGACAAAATACTCATTTGCCTAATAATTCTGCACTCCCTGTATGAAGCATTCAAAGAGGATCTTATTCCTATACTGAGAAAAACATGCAATCTTCGCCTTCACTGAGAGCCAAAAGAAGTTTGGCTCTCAGCGAAGGCGGTCGCACTTTCCTCCTCTCCTGCCCTTATCTTCCCTGCTTAGCTTCTTATGTCCTTGTCTTCTCTTGTGGTTTTACTTACTTTTCCCTGGAACACTCTCTCACAGTCTGTTTCTAAACCTAAAAGAGGAATTATGGATTTGATCAACTGGTCTCTGAATGCAATTGACACCCCTTTCTCAACGAGAAGTCTGGGCTTGGGTGAGCCTGAGTGCTGAAGATATCTACCTATTTGGAACCATGGTAACAGGGTTCTGATCGGAGCTGGCTTGGCCCTGACTTATCGAAGAATTAAGGAAGCGGAACCGGCTGTTCAAACCCCCACAAGGCTGCCCGCTGGGATTGGAACGATGGGAGAGGCGTGAGTTTCTCAAAATGGGCTCATTGAGTGCAGCACGGATAAGATCGTGGAGAAGCTTACGGCTGCTGTGAATACTTGAATAAGATCTCTGACTGCAGACTGGATACATCTCGGAAGGGCTAGCCCGGAATAACATCTCTGGGCGCAAATTGGATGACATCTCGGGGAGGCACACTGCCGTGAGTTCTCAGAATCGGCTCCTTGAGCACAAGAAATGACAACATCACAGAACGCAAGTATGGCGAAGCTCGCGGCTCTCCAACGGGAGATTGAGTGACCAGTGTTGGACTGTAGAACTGCTTTGAAATTCATATGAGCTGTTCGCACTAAAGTAAAAAGCTCCATTACTTCATGCGGAGACCCCTTTGGCGCCAGCGGCAAGGCTGGAGCCGAACAACAACACCCTGATAACGACTGTGTTTAGTCTGTTCCTTCCCGTTCCATGCAAGGCCACCTGGGTTGGCTGGAAGACTGGCAGGGAGAAGGACACTGTCTCAGCTGAACTCTGGACACACACACACATACATATACACTGATGTGCACACATTGATCCCCCCTCCCTTTCCAAACGCCTTCGATGCTTGTCCCCTCCCGGGGAAGATGGCAGTCGACTGGACCAGCGCAGACATGCTGCAGGACCGGATGCGCTGCCTACACCGGCTCTCTCACCCTTTACCCGCCCCTGTTGCTTGTCTTGTGTTTCTATGGTGTGTTGATAGTCATGTGCTTTTTGTGCTGAGGTGTTTTTTCTGTTATCAAACTGTTCTCCCACTAGGAGCTCAGTCTGAGTGGAGTTTTTTTTCTCCTCCTCTTACCTCATGTTATGTATTTTCGTTGTTTTTTCCTATCAGCCGACCTTTCTGACATGTCTTCCCAATGTGATGTTTGTGTAAAGTTGGTCAGAAGGTTCCTTTGTAAGTGTGCATGCGCCATTAGCGTGCTGCCTGCTGTAACCCTAATTTCCATCGGGATTAATAAAGTATTCTTATTCTGATTCATTGGGCACTTGAAAAGGCACAAATCCCACCTACCTGGAAAGAAGCAATTATATCTCTCATACCGAAGAAGGCCAAGGATAAGAAAGAATGTGGGTCCTAAGGCCAATTTCTGTACTTTATGTAGCTTACTGTATCTATACATCCATTGTGACAAAACGAATGGAAAAAATACTACTAACCTGATACATAATGATCAAGCTGTCTTTATACATAAACGTCAAAGCCAGGGTAACGCAAGACGCACTTTACACATAATGAACTAAATACAACAACATGCAGTTTATTTAAAAACGTATACGGCATATGCTTTCCTATAAGTTACATGGCTGATTTTAACCCTGTATTGCCTAATCGAATCCTAGATAATTTGACTACTTAATTTCTTCCAGTTGCCTTTCTTTGCCCCACTATTTCCTGTACACTGTCTTTCCTTTGACCCATGTGTCCCACTTGTACTGACACTTCTTTTTCTTGCCTTTCTCAATTTTATGCCGATGACATCCAGCTGTGCACGTCTTTAAAGGCTCATCAGATAAATGAGCTTCTAGCCTAGTTGAGGGAATAGTGACGGGCTCTCCAGTAATTGCTTTGTTTTAAACTCTTGCAAGTCTGAGTGTAATGTCTTGTAAAGTAATGCACAGGAATGTGAGATGTGAGAACCACAATGAAAATGACATTACAGAAGAAAATTGTGTATTGGAAAATTTCTTATATTAAGAATTGTGGCTTTAATATAAAACTGATTAACAGAACATGTGTTTCATCTTTACAAGTCTTGTTGCTTGAATTTCAGTAATGCATGTAGGAACAAGGCTAAATCTGGTGCCAGTTATAATGCTAATCACACAGCAGCAGCTGATAAAGTCCACACAGTTTCTTCCTCACCTTTTGTGTTGAATCCATCGTGACTGAGCTGAGTCCAAGTGGCTGAAAATGTTCCTCTGCTGCTCAGCGGTGATCAGCTGGGACACAAAACAGATCTTTATTAGGATTCCACTAGAGCTGCAGCGATTCATCAAGTAACTTGTTCATAAAAAAATTTGCTTCCATGACTACTTTAACACTGTGGCTCTCAGTTGTCGACATGTAAGCGCTTCGTTGCGGAAATTTAGTGCATTAAATTAAACAAGTCACACTGCTGGAGCGCTGTACAAGCAGGATACTTCATTCACTGGCAGTCTCCTACATGCCTTCACTTCTGCTACATGCAGGGGTCGCGGGGTTAACATAAGGGCATAACATATGCATAGGACAAGGAAGGGTGTATGTTAGCATACAATGAAAAAATTCTTCTACAGTTTCGTGACTGTTTTACTCATATTTGTGACTAAATACAGACATGCAATGAAACAGATCTACTAGCACATGGTAATAAAATTTTACATTAAACCCATGCAGTCCCCACTTTTGAAATAAAGTTTGCAGATGAATTGTTAACTTGGTTTGATAGTGTTTAAATCAGGAGGCTTGCTGAAGGCTGACAACAGCAGCCCTACATTATATGACAGTGATGCCTTTGAACATCAGGGGTGAATCTAAAGGGGGGCTTGGGGTGCACTACACCACATTTGTTTCAGGACTTTAGTAGTATTAGTATAATTGTATTAAATAATTACATATTAAAAAAAAGTAAAAATATACACTACTGGTCAGTAATTCCTACAAGTGTTTCAACTTTTCTGGATCATTTCCAGCCCCCTGTGTCTGCATAAAAGCAGTGTTGGAACACACTGTGGTACCATACCCCCATGAGCACCAGCTGAACAGTATTTTACTGCAGAAAGTAGTGTGTTGCAAAAAAAATTCCAAGAACAGGGAATCAACAATGGAAGAGAGACAGACCAAGATAAGACTTCAATCCTTGAGCTAAGAGAAGTACTGCTGGGCCATGAAGCACCGCCATCATTCTCCTAGTCATTAATAATCTCTGGTTCTCTGTCACAGCATGTCTTTGTCATGTCTTTCTCAGTTCCTCACACCAACAGGTCTCTGCAGAAGGCTGCCCCTCTCCGAGCTTGGTTTGCTGGAGATTTCTTCTTGTTAAAAGGGAGTTTTTTCTTTACACTGTCACCAATGCACTTGCTCATAGGGGTCATCCGGTGTAGGGTCTTTATCTCATAATATAAAACACCTTGAGGCAACTGTTGTTGTGATTTGGTGCTACATAAATAAAATCTAATTGAACGGAACTTCTTCATTCAGCTGAAAATCTTCTGTAAACAAAGTAAAATCAAACCCAACATTCAATCCACAACATGATTAAAAACATTCCTCTTCTCCCAAATCAAGAGCTGCACATTAACCACCACAATATATTTGTCTTATTATACTCTATGCTTTTAAATATTCTGCTCTCAGAGGAGGCGGATGCATCTTTCACCCTCTCCTTATCTTCCCTGCTGCTGCTTCTATATCCTTGTCTGGTCTCGTCTGACTCTAACCCTGAGAGCCTCTCATTCTTGCTCTTGTTCTCTAAAACCTAAAGAAGAAGAACTGTGGATTTGATCAACTGGTCCCTTAATGCAATTGACAATGTATTCTCGATGAGAAGCCTGGGTTCGGGAGAGCCCGAGTGTCCTGGAGGGACGTTCCCTGCCGCATACATGATGGACGGTTGGCAAAAGTAGCAGGACTGTCTATTGAGGACATTGAAGACATCTACCCGTTCAGAACCATGATAACAGGGCTCTTGAAGGTTGACGCCAACGAGAACAACAATTCTTCCACGAGATACGATAACAGGAACAAACTGACTCTCCTGCCCGATCCCTCAAGGCCACCCGCGTAGGCTGGGGACTGTTGATCGTCACCTAATAGGCGTAAGGACACTTTCTCAGGCTGAGCTCAAGACACACATCCCGACACGCTTGCACACATTTACAATGATACTGATATGCCCTCACCATCACCCTCCCTTCCTCGAATCCAACACCTCCTCCCATCAGATGTGGACAGCGGCTCATCAGGACGTGCGGTCGCAAGATTGCAGCATCCCAGATGCAGCTGTGTACATTGGCATACCCCCCATGCTGCTTGTCTTGTGTTTCATAGTGTTATGATATCTGTGCTTTTAAGTGCTGGAGTTTCTGTCTTCTCCTCATGCCGAGTCCTTTTGGGGAAGTAGTGGCAGAAATTCTTTTTTTCTCCTGATCTGCCCTTCTGTGTTACACATTTCATTATTTTTGCTACCTAGCCTGACCTGTCTCCCCAATATGAAGTTTGTGTATTGTATGAACGGTCGGCAAGGTTTGTCATCTCAGTTGCAGGAAACTGCAACCAACAAACAAAGGCATCCATTCATCAATTAACATTGTTTGCTTTCATCTCTGTTTCGTTAGATTTTGGTAACATCTTCCTGTTCATCACTTTACAGCAGCCACACTCACTACAATGAGACTTTGTAGGAGTTCAGTTCCTCTCATGTGCTCATCCACAGCAGCTGGACATTAAACTTTATTGTAATCCCACAAAGGAAAAATTCACTTGTTGCAGCAGCACAATGGAAAGGAAGGAAAGAGGAACTTGAGATGTATGAGAAAACAATAAAACAAAATACATGAATGATATACATGATGATACATGAAAATGAATGAAGAAGAAAAATTAGCTGTGTTTATGCAGGTGTTCAGCCTCATTAACAGCTGCTTTCTAAACAGGAAGCAAGTTCATGTGAGCTTTGGTCTCACTCAGAGTACACAGATCTGCCAGTAGGGTGGTCTAAAAGATGTTTCTACACTGCACATGATTTAGAGATACATAAATATTTCTATCCGGAGTACAAACCACTTCATGTCAAATCTAACGTTGTTAAGTGACTTTTCCAACAGTCTGTTGATTTACTCCTGAGGCTGACCTAACAGCACAGGCTTATTGTCTGAGAAAAGCTGCCGATGAGCCAAAAAAACCTTCAACTCTGAAAAGTCAGCAAAGAATAAGAGAGAGAGAGCTGGCATCAAGGTTAGAGACACTATCTCACAGGAACAAAAGAGAGAGAACACCAGAGGGATTTGCTGCTTATCTCTTTAGAAAACGGGTCCAGGGCCACATGTTCACCTGGAAAATAAAGTTTATAGTGACCCTGATACTGCAGCAGATCGCTCTGACTTCCTGTTATCACTTAAATAGAAA